TGAAGTACGCGCGCTCACCTCCCTTCTCCTTTCGCCCTCTTCCCCTTCGGCAGCTTCCTGCCGCTTTTCGCCCGCTTCGACCCCTTTCACACTCGCCTTGCTCCGTCGCGTCTCTACCGCGTTTTCTTCCGTCGCCGCTTTGTCCTCGTTTGCACACGATCGAATACAATAAGACGCGGACACGATTCTTACGCGTCCGAGGACTGCGTTGTGACTATGTTCTACCCTCATGTGTGTAATTTCGATCGAAAGGAATTGGATAAAATTTCAATGATTTTACCGCGTTTCTTTGACGTACGAAATTTTTTTATCAAGACAGAGTCGATATATGTTATAAAACTTTTTTTAATCATTTGTTCTCATAATTTTCAAATTTTTAATTTACAATTATCACATTGAAAAGGGACTGTCTCTTGCATTGTTAAAAAAAATTGTAAAATAAAAATTACGATGTAATTCTTATTCGTCTTTCATTTTATTTTTACTAAGTAGATTATATAATTTTGTGTTTACGTTTGCGCATAGCAATGGTAAATAAAGTCACAAGTTAAATTTATAAAGAAAAAGTAACGGGGCAAGAGAATAAGAAGTGGTGCATGATAAAAGTTCGTGAATAAAGAAACGAATAATTTAGAGTCGCTTACCGCGAGGCGATTCCGTCTAAAGGAGAAAATCCTCATATTGCGCGAGCAGCGTCTCTGCTTTTAGGTGCAGCAGGAATTTCCGAATGCGCCATTCGCGTGATATTTTAATACTTTATACCTCACCGTCCTTGCGAGTAAATCTCTGCCATGATAAGACCCGTCAGGAATTTCACCCCCGCAGAACATCCGCCGTTTATAAGAAATGTTTTCGAAGTTTATGAGGGCGACGCAAAGTCCTGGTATGGGCGGACCTAAAGCCTTCATCCTCCCTCCCTTTTCCTCTTCTTTTTTTTTATTTTCCTTTTTAAATAAAAGCAACGCCGATAGAGGAAAAGCGTCGTGTCGCAAACCTGACAATAAAATCACGTCGTCTTTGGAATATCGTCGAAAAATGCGACGAGAATTTTTTCGTCAAAAATTTGCACTAATACAGAATGTCGTAATCTTGCCATTATATTCGCGCCATTATTTAATTCTCTGGCTGAGTAACTCTAAATTAAAAATATTATAAGATACTAATTATAATATATTATAATAATTTATATCCAATTTATATCCAAGTTATATCCGATTTCATAAAATAGAATGTTGTGATAACTTCGTATGAATATATCGTTGCAATTTATATCCGATTTCATAAAATAGAATGTTGTGATAACTTCGTACGAATATATCGTTGCAATTTATATTTTGTTTTCTACGAGTTTTTTTTAAATTATAAATAATCTTATTCTTTTCTTGGTAACGACCGAAAATTTTTTTAGAAAACAAATCTCAATCTTACTTTATAAGACTATAATGCGTGCAAAATGCGTAGTTTGTGAATATAATAGTTGCAACGTCAACGCTTTCCGTGACATTGCGAAACAAGAGCGTTGTGCACGCTTATGATCTTGACTGTAATTCTACGGTTACAATTCTGAGTTGCTCCGGCTAACGCGATGTCCAATCTGAGCATTGTGACGTCATGAATTTAGACGCGGGTTAGAATTAACTGTCTTCCGTATCAGATGTATCTCTGAACAATACACAATGAATATATCTCGCACGAGACGATACTACGTCGACAGTTGCTCCAAATTGCATTTTTGTTTAGTAAAAAACACAAATGACTCCCTTCTAATTTACAAATCGTTCATTAATAAAGTAAATTTTACTCTTATCCAAAGATATTTCCTAAGAGAATAAACTCGGCCTGAAATTCGGGCAAATTAATTTCAAGACAGTTTTAATTTTGGTGAATTTTTAGTGAGTTCAAAGCGGAAGGTTTATTTTAAAATTTCTGGATTTTCCTTCGGGAATTCCTTCCGGTCCCCGAACGAAATTACTTGGCGATGCGGCTACACGTGGAGTAGAAAGAGAAGGAGAGAGTTTATCTTCGTTTTATTTCGAATTAACCCCGCCGAAGGATTAAAATGGATAGGATAGAAATGAAATGGGACAGGAAGTCGACGGATGTAAAGCCAAGAAAAAATTACGAATTCATAACTTGGCGAAATGAATTTCCATCGATTCCTTTTTAATTCACTTTGCACACAGGCATACCTATATATCTGGCTCAGCGCGGAACGGCGCTCGTGATGTCGACTCGACGACGCTGCAGATTTCTTGCAGGAGTCAGGTGCGGAGCGTCGACGCGCGTGTCGATGAACCTACACCCATCCTCGAGGTAAAGTCAGCAGACGCGGCCGAATGCAAAGTGCATCGTTGCATAACGCGGAATCGCGCGTGTGCGATCATCCTTTTGCGACACGTGGAAAGGCAGAGAGATATAAAGAAAAAAACACAGATAAATATCTATATAAAATGTAATGAAAGCACAGATATCTCTCTTTTCTCTTTCTGGCTCTCTTTCGCTCTCTCGCGGTCAACAATTATTCGATGTTAACGACGAAAAGACTGCCGCTCGGTATTGTTTCTACGCATTTCAATTAGTTATCTTTGGCGCCGTCGCTCGCAGAGCAGCGGCCCGCGGGGCAGTTTTATGACTTTACGGTTATCGACGGTTAAATAGAATTCGTGGCATACCGGCCGTGCCGTGTGTTATGCCCAGGTCGAAATAGCTCGAATAAGCGGTAGGGCATAAAGAGCGGGATAATTGTCAATTTCATTGCGAACGAGACTCCGCATGCCGCGCATTAAAATAAGATAACCTCTTTCCGCGCGCTTCATTCTCTCCCCCGACCGCTTTTCCTTTTTTCCAACCATTAAAAAGCTCCCCTCTCCCCCTCCCCGCTCCCCGTCAGGAAACGCGTTGTCGGACGCGA